CTAATGTATTTGATGTAAGAATTTAACATTAAAGATGACATACAAAAGGTAAATAAATAAATAAATGAAACTGAAAATCAGTTGCCCCTTATGGGAAAGTTAATTTCTGACACTGCTGACACTGGCTTATTGTTCGAAGTGTTATTTCAGGGTTTGGATATGTTATAACTCAAACGAGTTCACCTTCAAATCATGACGTCAAATTCACATTTCACTAAAGTCAATCACTGAAACAAGCACTCTGAGGAACAAATAGTCCCATGCTAGTGGGATAACAACATATGATTTCCTAAATTTGTATAAAGTGCGAATAAAACTCAAAATAGAAAAATAATAGATGTGCTGTGAAGGTAAATTACACAAAGTCATTTATTTTCATATCTGTCATATTAAGTTCCTCCATTGTCCAAAACGCAGAGTATTGTCTAAAACAAAAGTTATGACTGTATGTTTACATAAATTGATAGTGGTCTGCGCTTCACTACAATACATTCTCCCCGCCAGGGACGTGCACAGACATTTTGAGGGGCAGGGGCTCTAGTGGAAAAAAGGGCACTTCTCATATTTATTTTAATTTTTTTCTAAACAAAACGTTAAATATATTAACACAACTCTGACTTACTTACCAATTTATTTTAATTCCCTCACCCAATTGTTTCATGTGGTTTCATTTTTAAACAGATGTCTACAAAATAATCAGTTCACATAAAGACCATGGTCTTCTTTAGCATTCAGTAATTTTATCACAAGAACAGGCAACAACAAAGGAAACTAAGCCACAATGTGCATGTTTTCTATGCTACTAGTTTCAAGTATATATTTAGAATAAATGACTGAACAAAGGAAAGGGACATTTTTTCACTAATAATTTGTTTATTTTGCACAAGACAATAAATTGTTTTAATTATTTTGGTGTTATAGTAATATATAACACTTCAAAATTAACAAAGACCATTACACTAAAATTAAGTTGGTGCTAATTTGTTGTGTTACAGGAAAAACACTGCAAAAATAATTAAAACACACTGCAAAATTATGAAGTTATCGTTTAAGGCATGACACTTCATGTCCTGTTCAATTTTGAGATTTTGGTCTATTTTGCTTCTATGTCTTCTTTTGCTCAAATGGAAAGGAAATTTCCAAAATGCACATTAAGTTGTTTGTTTTAAGCCTACTACCCTAGTCTGTTTGTTTCTGTAGATTTCTTCTAAATTAACCAAAACAAGCTATCTGCATATTTAAACATAACATTTCAAGGGAAAAGACTCTTTATGCAAGTCATTAACTAATAACTGGGGAAGTTCTGTGGTGATATGCTTTAGTTATTTTGTTTATCCTATTCATCTGCAATGCCTTGTGTCAAATGTATGCAAATTAGCACGCTTTAATTACTTAAAGGGATAGTTCACCCCAAAATGAAAATTTGATGTTTATCTGCTTTCCCCCAGGGCATCCAAGATGTAGGTGACTTTGTTTCTTCAGTAGAACACAAACGAAGATTTTTAACTCAAACCGTTGCTGTCTGTCAGTCATATTATGTAAGTGAATGGGAATCACGGCTTTGAGAGTCAAAATAACCTACACAAACAAAACCAAATTAAACCCTGCGGCTCGTGACGATGCATTGATGTGTAAAGACATGAAACGATCGGTCTGTGCAAGAAACTGAATATTATTTATATCATTTTTTACAGCAGTATTTATATCGTTTTTACCACAATGTCCAACTGTCCTGAGCGCATTCGCGTCTTCCTTCTTCAGCCGGCACGTGACGCCTTCTTCTTCTTGCTTTACGGCGGATCGCAGACTTATAAGTGCATTACCACCACCTATCGCTCAAATGGACCATTGACACTATCTACAATCTCAATTAGGAGTCAATGGTCCATTTGAGAAATAGGTGGCGGTAATGCCCTGATTGGGTATCTTCCGTCCAATCGTTTTTTAATTTAATATTGAAATCTGAAAAATAAAAAAATGGTACATATTTCGTTTTTCAATTGTTTAAACAAAATGAAAAATCAAGAATCCGGCTTCATTTTTCATTTTTACGTTCAGGGATAGAAAACGAATAAAGAACTTGAATATTCGATCTTTACTTGTGGGCGGGAATGGAACGCCCCTCTCTGCTGATTGGTCAAACAAACATTACAACATAATAATAGTCCTAAAAAAAACATAATAAAAGTTCTCCGCTTCTATGGATTCTTAACATGTTTTTTTCTACTACAACAGCCAGATTAATGAATGGCTTGACACAAACCGTACCGAGGCAGAGCCTTTTGGTCCTTTGGCACACCGCCTGTTTTATTATATTTATCCACCTATTAAAATCTGTGTGGCAAAGCTGCGCGACGCACTGCAGCGCGGGGAGAATGTATTGTAGTGAAGCGCAGACCACTATCAATTTATGTGAACATAGTCATAACTTTTGTTTTAGACAATACGCTGCGTTTTGGACAATGGAGGAACTTAAATAATATGAAAGGAAATGACTTTGTATAATTTACCTTCACAGCACATCTATTATTTTTCTATTTTGAGTTTTATTCGCACTTTATACAAATTTAGGAAATCATATGTTGTTATCCCACTAGCATGGGACTATTTGTTCCTCAGAGTGCTTGTTTCAGTGATTGACTTTAGTGAAATGTGAATTTGACGTCATGATTTGAAGGTGAACTCGTTTGAGTTATAACATATCCAAACCCTGAAATAACACTTCGAACAATAAGCCAGTGTCAGCAGTGTCAGAAATTAACTTTCCCATAAGGGGCAACTGATTTTCAGTTTTTTATTTATTTACTTACCTTTTGTATGTCATCTTTAATGTTAAATTCTTACATCAAATACATTAGAATAATATGAGGCTGTTACCAATTAAATCAGTATTCAGAGATATAGAACCTGCGTCTGAAGATGCTTTTAAAAGTATTTACAGTTTAATGCTGATCAGACGGATGTACCTGCATTTACATAGCAATTACAAATGTATAATGGAATGAGATTAATGTTTTATACAACATTTTGTAATACAGAAATATGAATAAAATGAAATGATACTTGAATTATGAAAGTAATATCGCCACTAGGTGGCGGTAAGTCACTGTGTTAATAAAGGAGCCTTTTATTCAATCAATTCGTTCAAAATGCTTCATTCATTAATTTAGGAATAAAATCAAGCAGTTGTCTATAATAATTGGTCATTGAATAATAATGGGGTTTTCAAAGACTCTGATTCATTCAGAGTAGGTATGGGGCGGGGCGACACGTGCAGCCCCGCCCCAGATGCAGCATATCGCCACTAGGTGGCGGTAAGTCATTGTGTTAGTAAAGGAGCCTTTTATTAAATCAATTAGTTCAAAATGCTTCATTCATTCATTTAGGAATAAAATCAAGCGGCTGTCTATAATAATTGGTCATTGAATAATAATGGGTTTTTCAAAGACTCTGATTCATTCAGAGTAGGCATGGGGCGGGGCGACACGTGCAGCCCCGCCCCAGATGCAGCCCCACCCCGATCTGCAGGCTGCAGACAGGGGCTTCTCATTATAGCTGTTTATACCCATCTCAGATTTTCTGGCACAGAATGAGAGCTTATTAAATTATGAAAACGATTGTTTATTTTTTCTAATTATTTTATTTTAGTTAGTTTTTCAATAACTGTTGTTAGTTTCGTTTAGTTTTTTCATTTATTTGGAAATTGTCATTTTATTTCAGTTTACGAAACAGTTTTTTGACCAATAGTTTTAGTCTTAGTTTCACTTTTCGTTTACGAAAATAACCTTGGTCTGAAGTAATGAATTTAAGTAAAGGGGTGCAGAGCCAGTGGTGG